ATATATATATATATATTTATATATTTCTGTTTTTGATAAAAGATACGAGGACAAGTTGCACTGTTTCTTAAAACGAAAATCCTTTTTGTTTTCGGGATTTAGGTCAATGCAGTGAACACAGAAAAGCAAGTGGACAAAGGACAGCATCAGGGAATGGTGTCAATGCGAAAAGAATCACGTGTGACAAAAAACAATTCTGTGTTCAGGAAGCTCCTTGTGAGTTGAAAACATCACTGCTTAGATTCTAATTTTGTTAAAAAAATATATATTCATTTAAGTTGTTTTGAATTTTCCAAACTTTTATTTCAGCGCCGAGCAAGGTATTTTGATCCTCCAGGAGAGGGCGATTGCGCCTGTCGCAACTGTGGTGAAGAGGGCCATAGAGAAGGAAACTGTGGAGCACAAAAGCGAAGGAGACCGTGCTATGGTTGCGGGAATCTTGATCATGGTTGGAGGCGTTGCAAGCTGGTAGAGTAACTAATAAGTTTCACTAAGATTACAATAATAAATTTCTAATCTACTCTGACTAATAATAATCTTTTTTTATGGTTGGTTGTTTCAGTAAAAGGATATTCCTACTGAAGTACTATTAAAAAGTTCTAGAGTTCATCAGTTCGTGTTCATAAGTGTACCGTGTTAGTTTGACAATACATGATGAAATTTTCAATTGGTTTTACAACTAAATTTTGAGATGTTGTGCCAGGATCATCCATATTCATTGCTGAAAACTATGTGGATGTATTAGATATGTGTTTTTCATCTAGCGGTTAATACTTTTATACAGCAAATTACATAACAGTGTTTTCCTCTTTTTGCTATAGAAAGTATTGTCCACGTAGCCTCGTGTATTATCCATCATCCTTTCTGTGTTCCATTTAATTTGGCTAAATTTCATGATATGTGCTCTTGTGGATATTACAGTTTGAGCCCGTAATAAATGAGATTCCTTGCTTGAGTTTTAGAAGTTGATGAAATTACGACGCTGTCTTGATCTCACAGCGCAGGAATTGCTTTTCCTGCAAAGGACGAGGCCATTTTGCTAAAGATTGCCCACACAAAAGCCAAGTAGATAATCCAATCCCTGATATTTGTCTTAGATGCGGGGACACCGAGCATGATATGTTTTCATGTTGCAATGACTATTGTCCTCGTGATATCGAGGTCTGTGTGATAGTTTTTCATTTATTTCCTAAAATACTCTTTCCTTTTGATTTTATTTCCTTTTTCAGCCCCCATTTGCATTTTCTTGTGCTGAATAGTGGAATGTTCGAACGTAAACCCCATTATTATGCTGTTCTGCACAGGAAATGCAGTGTTATATCTGCAAGTCTTTTGGTCATCTGTGTTGTGCTGATTCGCTGCATGCATCTCCGATACCTGTACTTTCTTGTTACAACTGTGGCCAGTCTGGACATTTGGGTTCAGTAAGTCATTTTTCCTTTTATGTGAACTGTGAAGTCTCATTATTATAGTAACCGAGAAACTCTAACTAATGTTGTGACGAAATATTAACAAAGGGATGCATGAAAACATGTGAAGACACGCGTGGCGTTTCCTCCCAGCCTTGCACCACAGGGGCGGAGAAGGTTGTAGTTTTGCAGGAAAATTCCTAATATGAAGGTTCTAATAATGGCCACTTTTTAAAGGTAAACCAAGTTTGCTCATTTTGTATTGTAACGCAACCAGAATGGGAAACGCTTGCACTGTTTGTGGTAGACTAACTTCATTATATTATTGATCTGCTCTATCTTTCGCACTTTGCAGCCTGGACGGGAGACATCTGGATGACCTATCAGCCTCAGCTTGAAATTTGCTTCTATCTTGATGAATGAGGAAGACGGAAAAAAAAAAAGGCATAGACCTCCCAAGCTCAGGAGAAAGCTGGATCAATGCAAGAAAACCAAAGTGTAACTACAGGATGATCAGTGGAACTGAAGCAACAGAGAACCTAGTACTGATATCAGTTCTAGCAAGCCTAATGATTCTAATCATTAGGATTTGCTAGTACTGATCTGAAGTCTGAACCATTTTATGCCAAATAACACAAAGGGTATCATGCAAAACGCTGAATGAGAAATGGGAAAGAAAGTATTTTTAAGCTGGAGAACCCATGAAATTGTAGAGAGGGAGAGAGAGAGAGAGAAGAAATTACCATGCAAAACGATGAAATGAACAGAACGAGCGAAGGGGATGACAGTGATGGAGACGATGAAGATGAAGAGGAAAGTGATTGATGGTGGTGGTGGTGGAGAAGCCATTGATGTGAAGATGATTTTGGTGGGAGTTTGAGATTTTTCGAGAAATTTAAGGTTTAGAATTCATAGGTCTTTGGAGAACTCTTGGGTAGGGGATGAGGATCACATGCTAATTGCAAAGAGAGAGATGTTACCGGTCAACTACCTCTTCACAGAGTTGGACTGTTTTTATGTCGATATTTATTTTATTTTATTTTATTCATTGTTATTGTTTTTGCATGGATGCTCCTTAGTCTTAATAATTGATACCTTAAACAGTAAATTTCAAAATCTATCTATGCATCGGTGGTCCTTCTGATCAAAATAATAGACGTTTTTTAACATGTATTTTTGGGGTTTAGATACTGAGCCTAATTGATTGACCCTTCACAAAAGTTTGAACTCATGGAACTTTACCAAGGAACTTAATGGACAAATTTGAGTCTTGGATCAACAAGTTTCTTCCTGTTATCCTGTATATTAGAAAATGTGACCAATTCCTTGCATTGGTAATTAGATTTTCAGGACTGTTTGAAGTAGGCTAGGTTGCATTTGTGTAGAATAGTACTTATAGGTACCTAATTTTATGAAGACCATGACTTGGCACCACCTGTTGTGAAATGATATATTAGAGGTACTTTATAAAATTAGTGCATTATTTATTTCGGCCTCCTTCGTTTTGCGGATTCGAGTTGAGATGTGACATTTTCTGAGAGTTTTTCACTGTAGCAGAAAAAGTTTGATGTGACATTTTCTGATAACTTTTTACTGTAAAAACCTGAAACTGTAACTCGAATCGGTGAAATGAACGAGACATTCATATTTCATTATTTATTTTTTGTTTAATGAGGGAATTTTTTTTCCCTTTTTGTAATTTTATGTAAGCTATTTTCTTGTTTGGTCCTATGTATAAGCTAAACATCAGTGGGTGTTTGGTTATACTTTCAAACCACTTATTAAAGGTATTTTATGAATTAAAAAGGTTTTCTCTTGTTAAAATCAAGGTATCGTTCATTTTACCGATTTAAGTTTTCAGTTTTAGATTTTTACAGTAAAAAATTTTAAAAAAATATCACATCTAATTTTTTTTTATTACAATAAAAAATTATAAAAAAATGTCACATCTCAATTCGAATTAAAAACTTAAATCTACAAAGTGAGCGAGGCTCAAATGTTTACCATAGAGAGCTGCTATTCACCTTCGTAAAGGAGCAACATCGGAACAAAGAAGGGATGTTCATAAATCCGAACAACCCGCAAACCCAACCCACCCCGCCCCAACCCAAGCAAAAAAAAGCAACTCACAGTATTATTTTTAAATTTTCGGCCCATTATACCTTTGGCCCGAAGTGTTTGGGGCGGATTGCGGGTTGGGCCCATAACAACCTGTAATCCCCAACCCAACCCGCACAACATACCCTCAAGCTTTCGGCCCAAGCCGAATTGCCCAAGTTCTACTTTAGACTCGCTAACATTAGGGTTCACAATCTCATTCTCGGTCTCCCCTCCCGTGAACCCCCTCTTCTTGCCTCTTCCTTTTCAGTTTTACCTCTTCTTCCTCTCCCGTGAACCCCCTCATAACTCTCTCCTCATTGCTCAGTCCTCTCGGCCGTCGTCTTGCCCACTTTCTCCGGTGCTCTCTTGCCGGACTGATAAGGATGGTTGCTATTTCTATTTAATGATGAAGTTTGAATATTATATTGAACTTTAAGTCTTTGATTTTTTGAATGTTGAAACCGACCACCTAACCCACCCCGCACCGCCCTAACCCAACCCGAACATTGTTGGGTTGTGAAATTTTTCTAACATCGTTGGGGCTAAATATGTGCAACCCGCACCCTTTGGAGCGGAGAAAAAAAAGTCTTACCCCGCACCAACCCAACCCATGAACAGCCCTAGAACAAAGCAATTGCACGAGTTTTCAAAAAAGCGGGACCCAGTTTACAATTTTATTCACCTATACGGAGCCATGCAATGTTTATTATTTTTGGGAGCCGTGCATCGTTCGTTTCGCTGATTCGAGTTTAAAATTTGAGTTTTATTATAGTAAAAAGCTCTCACAAACAATCACATCTAACTTTTTTACTACAGTAAAAAGCCCTCACATAAAATCACATCTCAACTCGAATTCTAAACTCGAATCAGCGAAACGAACGAGGCGTTTCTCTTACCCACAAATAGATTTATATATTAATAGTAATTTAAAGATATATATTTAATGAGATTAAAAATTAATGTATATTTTTTGAATAAACATATAAAAAATAAGATATATTTTTT